GGTGGTCTATTCCACAATCAGCTCCTGGCCTTGTTTTGGCTGAAGATATTGAGCTTCTCCATTGTCTCTTGCCACAGATGTAGTCAATCTGATTCTTGTGTACTCTACGTGGAGAAGTCCATGTGTGTAGCTGCTGTTTGTATTGCTGAAAAAAGGTATCTGCAGTGAATAAGTGGTTTGTCTTGCAAAATTCTATCATGTGATCTCCAGTATAATTTCTATCACCAAGACCATATTTTCCAACTACTGGTGATTCTTCTTTGCTTTCAACTTTTGTATTCCAATAACCCAGTGATAATTGAACACATCTTGATTGCATGTTTGGTTGATTTCAGACTGCAGAAGTTGCTAAAAATCTTCAATTTCCTCATCTTATATATGCTAGCTGCATGAATAAATTTTATAATAGTTTTTATTTCTGAATACTAAATATTCTGCATTTTGCACATGAGTCTTGCTTCTTCAGTAAGTTATGAGTTTGCTGATATTTTGACTGTTCTCTATGTACCCATTTGGAGACAAAGATTTTTATAACTTATAAAAATTATATTGTATCTATAGCATCTTAATCTTAATCTATTTTTATGAGTTTACTTACAATTTATGTATTTCTCATATATTTCCTCATTGAAGAAATTTTATGAAATTACTCAAAATGTGTACTGATACAATTATTTGAATGGAGCAATGAAATGAGATTACACTATTTTATGACAGAAAGAAAGTCTGATTTGGCCAATTAGTATGACAGTGATAACTGCTTTCGCTAATTAGATTTTGTGGTAGAAATTTTCCAAAATTGAATGAAATAAATCCATATCACTAAGATAAACAAAAAAACCCCAAACTCACTGCCATCGAGTCGAATCCGACTCATGGCGACCCCTCTGTAGGTTTCCAAGGTGGTATCTCTACAGAAGTAGATTGCCCGGGGTTCCTTCTGAGGCTTCTGGGTTTGAACTGCCAGTTAGTGGTCAAATACTTTAGGCACTATGCCACCAGAGCTCCCATATACAGTTAGTATACATGGTAAGATAAAAGGACTTTTATAAGAAATTTGTTGCGAAACGTAGTGAAATCCACAATATTTCAATTTCTCCAATCATTTCTGAATATAATATATTAAACAAGATGTCTGTGAGGAGAAAAATTAACAAAATTAAAAAAATACAACAAGTATAATTAGTCCTTTGGTAAGTATTTGTAAGTCTTTTTTGTATACCTCCCAGAAAATGAGAAGTGAATGATTTTAATGGTTGAGAAACAAATTCTTTTGTAAATTAGATGGCTCTGAATTTCCTACTGTCAACAAAAGTGAAGTAAGTGATATTCTTCTACTCTGTTCTTTTTCAAGGTTGCTCTGGCTGAAAGGTGGGAACAACCCAAATGTCCATCAACAGATGAATGATAAACAAAAGGTGGTACATACATACAATGAAATATTACTCTGCCATAGAGAGAAATGAAATCCTGATACTTGTCACAATTTGGATCAATCTGGGACACATTATACTGAGATAAAATTAATCAATTACAAAAGGATAAATATAGATTTCACTAATACTAAGTACTAGAATACGCAAAGATACAGAGATTAGTGTTTAGTTACCAGGAGCAGAGGGGAGGACTGGGGAGGGAGCTAGAGAAGAAAGGGAAAGGTAATCATTGTTTAAGTTGTTGTTGTTGTGTGCCGTTTAGTTGGACCCAAGTCATGGTGACCAACCCCTACCTAAGTAGATTGCCTCACCTTGAGGGGCATAGAAAATCTGGCAATGGGCATTGGTGATGGATATACAACATGATTGATATAATTGGTTTTATTTAATTGTACATGTGAAAAATGTTGAACTGGCAAATGTTGTGTTCCTTATATTTTTACAACAATAAAAAATTTAAAAACATTTAAGATTTCATTCATATTTTTTAAAAAATGAATGACAGCGGGTATTAAATGGCTATGGATTTCACTGGATGCATATAATATTGATATTAAAATATCAACATTTTTAATATGCCAGAAACTAAATCCTTTGTAACTCAAAAAAATCCAAACTCACTGCTGTCTAGTTGATTCACCTCATAGCGACCCCGCCTTGGGTTTCTGAGGCGGTATCTCTATGGAAGTAGATTGCCCAATCTTCCTTCTGAGGAGTGGCTAGTGGGTCTGAACCACCAGACTTTTGGTTAGCAGTCAAATGCCTTAGGTACTACGCCACCAGAGCTCTCACCTTTGTAACTACTAATAATTAATTAAAATGAAAAAATTTTAGATGTCCATTAAAAAAGTTTTGAGGCAGGACATAATCAGTTTACATACTACAAAATTTGATAATAATATTCTTAGGGTTGTTGTGAGGATTAAATTAATTAATGTAATAATGTGCTTAGTACTGTAGCTGGCATGTAGTAAGTGCTATGTAACTGTTAGCTATTTTCCTTAAAGCAGGCCTGCAAGGTGCACATTGTAATTGAAATTTTTTTGCAATAAAGATATTAGGGTCAGAAATCTGAGGTTACTTTTCCAAGATCACATAGTAAAAAAACATTACTATTAGAATAGACTATTTGTTATTAGGTGCCTGATATGAAATCCTGTGCTCTACCTACCAAACTATGGTCTCATGAACCCACGTTTACCATACCCAATTTCAAGCTGAGACAACAAATACTCAAGTTTTACCCATAAAATTCAAAGTGTTGGGAAGTGCACATCCATGAAAAGCTCAATCATTAAGGCTGTTAAGCTTATGCATTTAAATATAAGAAAGATGAGTGCATACACAGAAACATATAATTATACTGTAAAAAAAACTCACAGCTGATAGTCAATGTACAGAATTACAAGCCTATAATCACCAGTCAGAACAACTACAGAAAGACAACCTTGAAATTTTTTTATTTGGCCATCAATATATATATTTTTTTCCATCCAGAGGGAAGTATCCTCTGGTTTCCTCCAGAAAGTTTATCCATATCTGTTTTTGAAACTTAGCAACACCACTAGCTATAGAAACAAAAAAGAGATGCTCAGAAGGAACAAATGTTGTACGGGTAAATCGTTCACTCTCTGAATACTAAACTCAGACTACAGTTCCTTGACAACTTCATGAATTGCAAAAGGAAGTCAGCTATAGAAAGGATGTGACAAAGTTCTAAACTAATGCTGGTGACCTTTGTACAATGTTTTTGTTTACTTTGTCAGCACTTTATTTCCTAGAAGTCAAGGAAACCAAAAGCAAAGGAAAAACATAATTCTAAACTTTAACTGCTCAAAATTCCCAAACTTCCAATCTTCATTCTTCTTTCTCCAAAGCCATGCTTATCAGGGCTTTATTAAAATGTCTGCTTATTCCTAACTCTCCATGTTCCAGGAAAATAATGCAGAAGAAATGATCTTCTTGGCATTGGGGGAGGGACCTTAAATTCTAACAGCAAATTTGATCAATACAAGGTTATTCTACCTTCCAGATGGGATTTTTTTAAAAAAGGGAATTGATGTACTAATCAGTATTTCAGCCTGTCATACTCTATTTTTGTAGTGAAGAGAAAACTATGAGGTAAAATACAGTACATCTGGAACTATGAATGGCTTTAATAGTATTTGCCCAGTAAGTTGAATAATCTTCTGTAACTCTGGTAATATACTTATGAAACATCAAAATTTAACATTAGGTAGAAGAGTAATAAACAGCATTCTTTCTTGTGCATTTACACTACAATTTTACTAATAACAAATATCGAGCTTAACTATTTTATATAATCTGTAGGTTAGTATGACAAATATTTGTAATAAGCATACCTGAATACATTATTCATGCAAATTACACATAACCAAGTTAAGACAGAATACAAAAACTTAGACTGTAGGCTCTACAAATTACCACATACTCCATTATTATTTAACTAATATGGAGTGCATTTTTAATAACAGCATGAAGATTCACTCACTTTGCTTTATGGAAGTAACAGACAAGTACAGAAGCACTAATGTTTATAGTATAGATGAAAATTTTACTTTTGACACTTATCACCATGAACTACACTCACCTTACATAGAGAAAAATAACTGAAAGGCCCTATGGCATATTTCTAAAATGTACAGCAAAGGAAAAATAATCTATAAATATTAAATCACATAAAAGAATATTCAATTAAAACTTTATGATAGAAATACTTATTTTATGATTGAATATTCAAAATGCAATTATAGTACTTTAAAGTACTGCCTTTTAAGGAAATATTTTAATAATTTGTATTCATTTATAAAATGCACTTTCTGAGAGTTCTAGGTGACTTATGGACACCATAAAAAGTATCTGGTATTACCATATGTAAAATCTGGATTTAAGTTTTTCACTTACTCTTTTGCTTCTTAAATCTGTTCCGAATCTATTACAGAAGAATAGCCTTAAGTCTCAGGGAGTATGTACTTTTAGACACCTTGAAACAAACTTCCTTGTTCATTACAATTTGACTTCATTTTTGTCTTCTTCAATCAGAGAAATCACAAGTAAAGTTTTTGAGTCTCTTATTTGCCGTGACATGTTTACTCACTTATCAATATTCATGATTCTCATCTGATTTATAGAAAACTTAGGACATTTGCTTATTTTTCTCTGATTTCTGTCCTACGGGCGATTTGATACAGACCCCAGTAACTAACAATGAAACTCAAAATGGGTAGATCTGCATTTTTATAACTTTGGTAAAAGATGTTATAGGAGATGTTATAATCGTCATCCAAGCACTTTTTTTTTTTAATTACCTATAAATTACATTTATCATTCTTATAGAATGAAAATCAGCTATTCTGTGAATCTGTAAATTTATATTGTAAAGCATATAAACTTTTAACCCATTTGCCTAAGTACTTAAATATTTAAGGAACGCAAGATAAAAGAAAAGGAAATAGACTAAATTGACTCAATATAAAAACCAGTGACATGAAAAACCTTATTTGAAGACTACAGTGACAAAGAAAATGGCAAGAGAGTATCTACCTGTACATCCAGCTTCACCTGCCTGAGCTTCAGGCCCCAGGATTTCTTGTCCTTCCTTTCCTGCTGAAAGACACATTCCAAAGAAGGGATTAAAATGAAATAAATCCATGTGTCACAAACATTTTAACTACCAAAATTCTGAAACAGCAACTTTCACTATAGATTATATTTCCTTTGGATTTTCCCCCTCTTATAAATATGGTAATTGTGTCCTTGAAAGGAAAACTTTAAAATCAAGCACTTTTCCCAAACTCACAAACATATCTTAGAGAAACAAAATCAGTGCAGATTTACATATAATTTTGGAATTAGACATATTTTGGAATTACATGAGTCCTGAGATTTTTTAGAAGAGGACCTCTACCTTCAAGTAACAACTTTTTTTCATTTCCTTCCCCAACCACACATCTCTATGTTCTAGACACTGTGCTAGAAGTTTTATAAACTTATTTCCTTTAACTTTCAGAACAAACTGTTTTGTAAGTTAAAAAAAAAAAAAAAGACAAAACTTGAGGTTCAGAGAGGTTATATAACTTGGTCAAGGGCAGTTATTAAGTGATAGGAGTGGAATTTCAACGCAGGTCTGAATGGCTCTACCTTCCCCTATACCCTTGCTTATTTAACAATGGTACCAGAAAAGTAGAAAGAAGACTGAACTGAACTTCACTGTGCCCAGAGTAAACACCAAAGACTCTACATGCTTTCTTTCATCCTATTCATATTCTAACTAATGATAAACATTATTAGTACTCATAAAGTTTTAGATGTCTATTCTTTGCTCCTGCTACCTCTATGTTTATAGTGGTCTAATTATAGTATTCCATACAGAATAGTGGAGTCCCTGGGTGGGACAAAGGGTTAATGTGCTTGGCTGCTAGCTGAAAGGTTAGAGCCTGGAGCCTGCTCAATTAAACCTCAGAAGAAAGACCTGGCAATCTATCTCCTAAAAACATCAGTCACTGAAAATCCTATGGAACACAGTTCTACTCTGACATACTTGGGGCTGCCTAGACAGCAACATTTTTTCCCCCTGTATGTACAGAATAGGCTCAGAGTAAATACTTTTTATTATAAATAAATACACATTTTTTGGCAAGTAGAAAGTATTCTTTATATATTCAGGTACATTTTCTTTATTATGGTAGTAATTAACTACCAATTAGGGAGCTCTGGTGGCATAGTGCCTAAGGCACCTGATTGCTAACCAGAACGCTGTTAGTTCAAACCCACTAGTTACTCTTTGGAAGGAAGATTGGGCGATCTACTTCTGAAGTGATACTGCCTCGGAAACCCAAGGATGGGTAACTGTGAGTTGGATCTGACTTGACAGCAGTGAGTAAGTGAGTAAGTAAGTTGTTAATTAAGAACATATATCTATATGAAAGACATTAAGGAATTAAAAAAGCTGTTCTTTTCCAACTAGTAGCACAGTATACATCATAATTACAATCAGAATACTTATAAAGTCATACTAAAACAGAGTGTAGTTATCTGCATCTCAATCAAATCCCATTAAATATGTCAGTCAAAAATATTGATTTAGATTTCTCCTGTTTGATTGTTGAATTGAGAAACAGCACTAATCAAGTGAAGTCTTTGCACTGAGTTAAAGCATGTATTTCTTTAAGATTTTTGGATTACCAGGTGGATTTATTCAGCAGATTTTCTATACTTATTAATTTTTATATTAGAACTTACAGATTATTACTGTATGAGAAATAGTAAAACACACATCTTTTTAGACAACATAAAAAGACTGTCTAAAGTATATAATGATGAGATTAATGTCTACTGAAGACTCCTCATTTTATATCTGCCATCAGTAAAATGAGAATTTAAAAATCCCTGGTAAAGTGTTTATAGTACTGTAGGATAAACACCAATATTTCTTTTGCTAAGTACAAATCTCTAACAGCCTTTATTTTTCTATCTCCTCAATGCATTTATTTACACTAAAATAACAAAAGTATGCCAACTGGGTAATTGTTGGTGTTGTTAGGTACTTTTGAGTTGCTTTTGATTCACAGTGACCCTACGTACAACAGAACAAAACACGGCCTGATCCTGCATCATCCTCACAATCATTGCTATCTCTTCTTTGAGGAGGAATCTCTTTCCCAATCATATTTTGAGTACCTTCCAATCTGAGAGGTTCATCGTCTAGCAGTGTACCAGACAATGTTTCACTGCTAATGATAAAGTTTTCAGTGGCCAATTTTTTCAGCAGTGGACCACTTCTTCTTTCTTCCTAGACTGTACTAATTAGGAAGCTCTGCTGAAATCCATCCACTATGAGTGACACTCCTGGTATCTGAAATACTGGTGGCATAGCTTCCAGCATCGCAGCAATATGCAAGCCATCACAGTATGACAAACTAACAGATAAGTGGTGGTAACTATATGATGGTAATATAATTACTTATTATTGTATATCTATACCCTTTATTTCTCCTCAAATGAAAATCCAAGTAGCCAGAGATATTACTTGCTGAGATGGAAGATGATATTGAAGTTAAAACAACATTGTGGACATTATTAATTTTTCTACTTAGAGTTATTATTATAGTTAACTGATAAATTAGGAGCAATTCAATTCAAAGAATGACCAATTTCTTTCTTCATTCCTTTATCACTGCTTAGGATAAAATCTAGGCTTCTTAGATGAGCATGTACTTCAGAATCTGGTCCCAGATTTACCTCCCACAACTTAGAAATTGAAGTCTTCATTCTCTCCCTCATTATTTGGGCCAGAATTTTAGTTTAACAATTGAAACCATCTTGCCTAATGAAAACAGGAATATACTAATGCTGTAAGTTGAACACATTTTCAATGCAAAAGGTAATGCCCAGGAATAGACTCTTTCTTGCTTCATCCTTGATTACAGTGAGAAAATACTGGAATAGGGCTATTCTGAATATTTTTCAAGGAATATTCTCCTTCACTTGTTCTAATAGGAAAATAATTATTAGAATCTACTTGTATATAAGATATTTATTTCCTTTAGGATTTAGTAATGCCAATACAGTATGATTGATTTACCTAAATATAATTAGGAAGGAACATTAAATTCTCCTAAGGCTTTTTCTTTTAATCTTAATTCCAAAGCAAATATACAAATGATAAAAGACTCCTGAGAACAGACTTTCTTTTTTCACATAAAAGTAAAACAGTTATGGAATATTACTCAGCAATAAAGAGGAACAAACTATGGATACACTCAACAACCTGGATGAATCTTCAGGAAACATGGTGAATGAAAAAAGCCAATCTGAAAGTTTATATACAGTATATTTCCATTTATAGGTTCTTGAAATAACAAAATTATAAAAATGAAGAACAGACTGTGGTTGTCAGGAGTTAGAGATGAGGCAAGAGGAAGAAAAGGAAGTGGGTATATAAAAGGGAAACAGAAATTCTTGTGATGGAAATGTTCTTTATCTTGCCTATCTCAATATCAATATCCTGGTTATGATATTGTAATGGTTTTGTGAGATGTTAGCATTTGGAAAAACGGAATAAAGGGTACACAGGGTACTCTATTTAAGAATCTACTGCTATTTCTGAATCTACAATTATATCAATGTACTAAGCTTAATTAAGGTAAGGTAAATATCACTACTTTTGAAAGAAAAAGATACTAGATATAAGATGGAATATCTAGTAAGTAAATAAAAGCAAGTATGGCAAATGCAATTCATTTTAATTAAAATATATATAAAATACGTAATTATATTCTTATGTGCATAGAAAGACTTCATCAAAAGGGTAAAAAGAGAACCTACAGATTGGGAGAAAATATTTGCCTATGACATATGTGACAAAGGACTTATCTCCAAAATCTAGAGAAAACTTCAACACCTCAACACCATAAAGACAAACAACCCAATTCAAAAATGGTGAAAGACTTAAAGAGACACTTCACCAAAAACAATATGCTGGCAGCCAACAAACACATGAAGAATTGCTTGTGATCTTTAATCATTAGAGAGATGCAAATCAAAACAACAATGAGATATCATCTCACCTCAGCAATAATAGCAAAGTTCAACAGGACAGAAAATAACAAATGATGGTGAGGTTGCGGAGAGATTAGAACTCTCGCGCACTGCTGGTGAGACTGTAAAATAGTACAGCCATTGAGACAACAGTATGGTGTATCCTTAAAAAACTGAAAATAGAAATACCATTTGACCCAGCAATTCCATTGCTAGCAATATATTCTAAAGAGGTGAGAGGCAAGACATGAACAGACATAATATACACACCTATGTTAACTGCAGCACAATTCACTATAGCAAAGAGATGGAAACAACCTAAATGCCCATCAACGGATGAATGGATAACCAAATTATGGTACATTGACACAATGGAATACTATGTAACATTAAAGAACAATGAAGGATATGCGAATCATTTCACAACACAGATGAGCCTGGAGGACATCATGCTGAGTGAAATAAGTCAATCTCAGAAGGACAAATATTGTATGAGCCCATTACTGTAAAAAGACAAAAGAAGGGTTTGCTTAAGAAAGGGAACTCACTTTGTAGGTTACCAGGTGGGGAGGGAAGGGAAGGGATGGTACAGAAAGAGCCTGGACCACCATGATAACACTGAGGAAAGGGAGGACACCAAATTGTGCATATAAGATATAGACAACAGAGGCTAATACCAGTGTATCTACAATATTGCGTTACCATTAACACCAAACACCAGGCTACAGATAGACACATGAACATCTGAGAAGATCCGATGGCAGTCAGTGAACAGGATTATATTCTACACCAAAGATAGATTCAGTGCAGGCTAATCTTGCACAGATACCAGTGATACAAAATACCCACAATCCTTACAGAAACAACACCAGACAGACATAGAGCAACCCCTCACAGACAGCCAGACACTATGGGAGAGATATCCAATGGATCTACCAACTCAGGACCATAGTACTGGGGGACACGAGACTCAATTGTCACAATAAAATACATAAAAACTTTGTCCCTCATCCTACATTGGTGAGTAGCGACGGGGGTCTTAAAAGCTTTCAAGCAGCCATCTA